AGCTTGGATAGAGAAATTTGAGGTGATATCTTGTAGGCTTTAATGATTTTTGTCATAGCAGAAGATATCGATAATATAGTATAGTTAGTATAGTATAATTAGTAGATTATGATTAGTTGAGGTATATTTTATGAGAATTTTTTTTCAAATCAAAATTAATTATCATATACAGTATATACTCAAAAATTGAATTGGTCGTGGTTAATATAATTTTATCAGAAAATAGATATAAGTAAAGCATAAGATCAATCAGATACAGAATCAATAGTTTTATGAAATAAAATTAATGAGAATATCAATGAAATCAAGAAGATATAGCTTTACTTAAAAAGGTCCTGAAAAAAATAATTGATATATGCTAAGTATATATTAGACCTGTTGATTTGAAATTTACCAATACATAGAATATAATGAAAAATTTATAGTTTTGAGTGTGGTGACTCGAGCTATATCATATATCAAGGTGTTATAATTCATTTTTTAGTACATATATCTAAATAGATTCTAGTACAACTCAACACTTATGAGATATTTGCGATATATATCTGGTCTGTTTTGTAAAATATCAGATAGCGGTATTATAGCTAGCTTCCATATACTAAATAAAAAGTTTATATGTTCAGAGTAATCATAATCAATATATTCAGAGATTTTTGAGTAATTCAATAAATTATTGACATATCTATATCTATTGTAGATTAGTTTTCAAAATGTTAGCCTATTTAGATTTATCATCTGATTAGTTAATAGGTTAAGCACTTTTTCTAGGATTTTTAATTCTTAATCATTCATTTTGTTTATAGTATCCATATATATAGTGTATAAAGAAGACAGTTTATATAATATTTTTATTGGAAAATTTTATATTAGCTAGTTTGTAGAGACAAAAAAGCTTCTCCATTAGATGTTTCTACCTACAAAACCTTTTTTATTCTTACCTAATATAATGATCAAACCAAGTTATTATAACTTACTATAGCAATTCATTTTCCTAGAGTATGGTTCTATTTTTTATCTATTCTTCATTGGTGTCTAACCATATGGGTCTACCTGCATCTTCAAGTCTATAGCATAAGATTTCTTCTCCTATCAATCTCTCTCTATGCATCATTTCTATAAAATCATAAGAATCATTGCCTTGTTCTATATTAAAGAGACAAGTATTTGTATCAACATCTATTCTTGTGAGATAATCTATTGAATCAGTTCTGTTTTTATTTGTAATAGTAATGAACTTATCAAGATCTTCATTATGATTTATAGCCCATTACTTTAATCGAACCTCTCATTGCTCCCTAGTCAAATATTCAGATAGATATGTTTTCAATTGGGTTGTAGCTTCTTCATTACTGGATTTGGGAGATAGTTTGTTATTTACAGCTAGGTCTGAAGAGATCTCGAGTTCATCATCAACAAGTATATTAGAAGATGAATTAACTTCTTCATTCACTGATTCAATGATCTCAGATTTATTGTCCACAGCTTCTACATATATAATCTCAGGAGTTATAGATATATTGGCAGATTCAGATGATGAAGCAACTAAAAATTTTAGTTAATCTATTATTAAATCGAAGAGATTCTAGATCATATTAGTAGTGGATGGAGCAGGAAATATTTCTTTACCTTTTTTGATATGATCAGTAGTTGATGACTTGGCTATATTTTTCTCTGGTTGAGGTATAACAATTTTAGATACGTCGAATACAGGGATATCTGTGGAAGTATTGACGAGTATCTCAGATTGAGATGAGTCTGAAAATTCTTCGATATTGCCTATCAATTCACATAGTTTGGTCACAATTTTGGATCGGTCGAGAATATACTGCTACTCTCTCCTTTTATTATTTTGCACTTGTTTTTTCTCAATATTAATTGATTTAAAATTTTTCTAGCTACTTTAGTAGTTAAGGATTTTTCAGGATTATTTTCATACCAAGTAAAGTAATTTTAATATAAATTCTCACTGCTAGGTTTGTTAACTTGATCCTCAGGCTATGATGAAATATAGTCAATTATGAATCGAATTGGATTTAGTAGGTATTCTCATATTGTTTCAACTTTTATTTTAGTGCTAGGAATATTTTGTGGATTCCAGTCTGAGAGATCAAGAGTAAGGAGATAAGCCATAACCATACTAGGTGCATTAGGATATTCTAATACTTTAGCTAAATTCTTAAAATATGTTGTGTTGCCTTTACAACAAGAAGATACATCAAAATATACAACATGTCTGTCACCTATTTCTATTTGAAGTAGAACATTATGATTGCTTAATACCATAAATCTAGAATAATCTTTTAAAACTTTGGGTTTAAGACCTTTATACTCAATTGTTAAATAATCTTCTGTAATAAGTGATTTGAGATGATCATTATATTTGTGCTAATCCCCACTACTCATTCCTGTTTCATTCATGACAATTAATTTGTGAGCCTGAATATAACTATTAAACCTTTTCAATATTTTTCAAGATCAGAGGTTGTATAGAAAAGTTCAGAACCTGAATTTGTTTACCTATAAAATTAATTAAGATATTTTTCCTACAGCTTGGTAAAGAACGTAATACTAGAATAGTTTCAGGCTTCTTAGATAGTTGTCTTACTAGATATCCTATTCAATGCTAGAAATATTTACTAAGTTCTTCACTCTTACCAGAGATTATATTTTTTGCATGCCATAAAATTGGGTCTATAATGGCAGGATTAATCTCTTTTGCTAGCTGAGCTTTGAATTCTAGAAAAAGATTAAAGAACTTGATATTTAGTAGTGAGGTATTTGGTGAATATAGCAGGAAATCAATATTACGATAAAGAATTAGACCTTTAACAACTGCTTGATTTATGAATGTTCTTAATCCTATTGATTCCCTCTGATATTCTGTTACTTTAATTTCATACTCTGCTATATCTAGTTTGGATGCCATATCATAGAAAAGACTATTATCAAAATCTTCTATTTTAAGTAGCTATAATCTCGAAGTTGTTTGAATATATACAACTATTGCTTGAATTGCCTCAAATATCAAATCACGTGTATAACTTTGTTTGGATATGCACATATCGATTAGATCACCTCATACAAAATGATCATTGGGATCTGAAATTCTGGGTTTCTTTAATTTTACTGGTTCTGGAAATCTTTTTTCTTGTTTCTCAGCTGATTTATCTATAGTAAGTTTTATTAAAGATTTTCTTACATCTGGTTCTTTTTTCTGATTTGCACAATGACAATAGAAGCTGTATGACTTTTATTCCAAATTATATATACATTGTCACTAGTATATTCTCGATCACAAAGTAGACAGTGTGAAGATATTATATGTGTTAATAGAAAAGTGTTAGGATATTTTTCTAATGAATATAAAAGTGAATATCCTTCGATACTTTTTTCTTTAAGCAGTGATTCTATCAATTTGAATTCAGCTTTTGTAGTTTCAGTGGCTTTATTGTAGGAGTTATATATTCTGGTTGTTACTAGCTCTGGAACTGATAAAAGAAGACTGTCTACAACCGGTGCCTCATCATTAGGTGAACGGAGCATAAAATCGAAAATTGTACTATCTTTAGGCATCATAGCTATCTTTGGATGAATATGCTTATCAGTTTTTTTACTAGTTTTCTCATATTTTATTTTAACCACCTTTGGGGTTCTAAGCATTCACAAGGAGAATGCATTTTTATTTGCAATTTTATTGACAATACCCTCAGCTTGTAAACTTACTAGGAGCTTTTTACTGACAAGATCAATAAAAGAAGCAACTTTGGCAATATTTTTGAGTTATAAACCAAATATTAATATATGATATGATACTTTTTTCTAGTCGCTACTACTGCTAACAGTTAAGGTTTTAATATCCTAGTCTTTATAAATCTCAATACATATACCTCTAAAAGCTCTGATTAGAGCATAATAAACTTGTTTATATATGAATTTTGGTTTGATATTATTTAACGTTTCTTGGGGTAAATCAAAATCAATAAAGAGACGAAATGGATCATCTCTGTTAATAAATTCATGTAATAAATATCCTTGTCGTTCTGTGAATATAGTTTTTATTCTATTCTCAGTATCTGTCTCTAGGAATTGTCTTGGTCTTACACTATTATCACGAATTTTATATATATATTCAGCTATGTTCTCGGCTTTGGCTCTCTGGTAGTAGAAGCCTCCATTATTTTCTTCCTCTAGTATAAAATTTTCCTTATTTTCTGAGCTCTCTAGTATGTAAGTGTCTTCATATTTCTCCAAGTTTTCAGAAGCGAGAATATCAGATAATACTGAGCATTGGTATAAGCCTACCTCCAGCAAAATCTCTGATTCTTCAGTATATGCAATCACAGTAAGTGTTTTGTATATACTTTGGGTACTCATGGTAACTTAGAATATTTTGAAATTCTGATATATTATCCTGAGAAAAAAGTTTAATTTGAAATTATTAATTAATTAGTTTTATCTAACGTAGTATTACTAACAAGTTTCAAAAAATATAATTAAAAATGATGGGTATTTATCTTTGTCAATATCTTTTCAATGAGGAAAAAGTTTATGGATGATCCTGCTATCAGCAGAAAAGATGTACTATTCATTGAAAAAGGCATTAATGTGTCCCCTGTTTAGAATGTGATAAACTAACTGCTTCTAAGTATAGCTTATATAATTTGCATACGAATAAATACTATATTAAAGCCTATTATTATCAAAAGAAGCTAAAGAAAATGATACAAAAAGCAGAAATGATCGAGAGTAGGCAATTAGGTAATTCTTTGAATCATGAATTTTAGTTTTTCATAGACAGATTTTAGGTATACTATATATATAGTATAGATATGGTAGTATGCTGTGCTAGACATAGTTATAAAAATTTGTCACTATAAATTTCTTAGTAACAAAAAAATTAATAGTAATAGTTTTGAATAGCTATTTTTAATTTTAGAGAGCTGGAGTTCTAACTAGATAAGTGTCACCATGTCACTATCTGTTTTTATGAAAAATCAAACTTCTTTACTTTTTTTTTCTTTTTTATCTATAGGTATATACTGTATATATATCATAGGTATATATAGCATATACTGTATATATATATATTGTATATACATATTATGTATATATTATAGGTATAGTATATATCATATATAGGTATCATGGAAAGTTGTTTTTTTCCTAGAAGTTTTATTTTCATAGTGACAATAGTGACAAATATAAGAAACTAATCAAGAAATAAATGAAATAACCAAAAAAATATCAAGAGAGTATAAAAAAGTATCACTATGAATTATCACTATGAGATTTTTTATGAAGACAGATTTTTTCATAGAGACAAAAAGACTAATACATTTTGATATATATTCTGATAGTATACTCAATAGCAATTATACAATACAAACTTAATAGCATATACTCGATAGCAATTATACATATATGTTTAATAGTATACCTGATAGCAGAAATATAGCATACTCGATAGCAGGAATATAGCATACCTGATAGCAAATATGATAGCAATTACGCATATATGTTTGATAACATATACTGATAGCATACCTGATAGCAAGAATATAGTATACTTGATAGCAAGAATATAGCATAGCTAATAGCATATATTTTTACTACTAGTATTTACAAATGATGTGTAAAATGTATTTGGATCATCAAACTCGTGATGAAGCCAACCTATCACCCACTTACCTGTAGACTATAATTGATATAAAAATCGGGCAAATATCAGCAGACTATAATCAATATAAAAGTCTATATACATATATAAAAATGATCAAAAATTGACCACAATTAATGATCAGATATACGATATGTTATATGTGACTTGATGACAAAAATTTGTCACAATTTCAATTAACTATATATATAGACTTTGAAATAGCAGAGATCATGAAAAGATATAGACTATGCATTATATGACAGATTATATATGATATAACAGTAGAAACTAGATATAACCATTAATATAGTAATTATATATTATGACATCAGATCATGTTGTTATTGCTATTCTGATATATGAAGGTTAATATCACTAGTAGACTATGAACTTGTCAGTATTATAAAAATCATTTCAATTATATGACAGTTTATAGTATATAAATATATAGGTACTACTAGTAAACTATGAACTTGTCAGTATCATAAAAAATATTTCAGTAGTATAATAGTTCACAATCTAAATTAAATCAGTTCATAATATATATATATTATGATCTGACTCAAAGCACTTATAAAGAAGAAATTCAACTAAATACAGAACCCTTTAACTTATCACTATCTATTATATAGAAACAAATTCCTATATTATTTAAAATTTGTAAATTCTGCATAAACATAATTTCAATTCAAATCTTTAACAAACTTTTGCAACTCCAAACCTTTTGAAATCTACAACCATTTAATATTCTTCAACTTATTAACATAATTAACTTACAAAATAATAACTTAAACCTATACTCACTTAGAAACAAAATAATTCTAAACAACTTACTAACAATGACAAATCTAAATAT